GGAAAAAAGAAATTATTCAAATAAATTCGACTAAATTCTCTTTACCGATCGCATGTACTTACCTGGTTGGTTGAAGAGATGAATGTTTTCATCTTTTAAATAGAATTCAGTCAAATCTATAAATAGCAATTATAGTTTACTTTATAAATATTTTGAATATTTTTAAAAGACATTAATTTTCAAGAGCATAAATTCCGAAACGACTGAAACTCGAGATAAAACCGATAATAATTCGTTTTTACATATAAATATAGTTTATTTGAGCTTGTTCAGTTGCACGCTAACAAATCGTAGACCGAATGATCACGTCTACATATGAGAACTGGCAAACGAATATCACCTAAAATTAGAAATGTTACGTAATCGTCTGAGCTAAAACGACGTCGTGAGTTAAGGACAAACCGACCGAAGCATGTATTTCTTCCAGTCGTGTCTCGTCGCACTTCGCAGTCGTTGTACTCCTTAGTCGATAAGGATTGCGACACCTATTTTTATTTAACGGTTAAACTTAAAGTACATCGTATTTCGGCATTATCACTTGCTCGCCGAGCATACAGCAGCCGACTTGTGGAAGGACTGATTTCTCGAACTGCAAACACAAGGTTGCGGATATTCGAAGCCGACTTCTTTGTTAGTTTAACTTTCATGCCGAACGAGCTTTAAAGATAGACTGCTCCTTTTACTCTGACTTAAATTCCATAAATAAGACCGAGTTTAGGTATACTGTCTTCTAAAAACGTTAGAATGTTGGAGATCATTGATGGTTACCACATGACTACCACATTTAATCCAGTTGCATTTAAAAAATGAAAAACGATGGCATGTTTCTTTCAGGTATACGCGGTCGACAGAGAATGCTTCGAAGCGTTTTTAACATCTCAAGTGAACCGCACCCAGCAGGTATACCCGAATTAGTTCGAGTTTACGCTTCGAGTTTAGTCCAACTATTTCAATACAAACGAGATCCTCTTATATATCCGATTATCGTGGGTTTTAATTATGATCTGCGTTTTTTTTTTATGATTTCAGCTCTTTCCACGATTTGGAAAAACTAGCGTTAAATAAAAATATCGTCGCTCACTTATTACGCTCGCTCCCTTATTATGGCGTCGATATTATGGCTATTCATTGAAGCTATCTTTCACTTGACAAGCGATCACGTTTCGCCTGATACTTACTCGCTGACTCGAATGACGTTGACACCGGTAATAGACGACGCATGTTACAGACGTAGTCTCACTCGATGTGTGACGCAACAGCACAATCGCGCAAAAAGCGACATCATGTGCCTCACGCAGTGGAAGGTTGCATCGCCGATTTACTTTCAATTCTGCCGTGCCGATCCTCGTGACTCGATTCGGTTTTAATCAGCGAGGAAAATCCTCTTTCGAGAACCGTTCCCCGAGACGTCTCAACAATCGTGTTAGCGATGTAATTCCCCGGAAGTCGTCTCTCCTCAGCTGTTTCCCAACCGAGAAAATTATGTTGCTATCGCATTTTTTTTAATTGCGACATTTATTTACTTGCCGACAGCATGACGACGTTCATATTGCAAAATATCATCCTTAAAGTCACAACAGTCTGTTTTGCGATCGCCAACCGACTTCGGCAACTACGCAGATCCGAAGTCCTCGATTCGTCGACGTTTGTAAACACGTACGCCGTATACGTGCGTGAGAAAACATTTACTTCGATGAACGCGATTAGCACGCTCTGCATGTTTACAACGTAAATCACCGTTCGGTTACGTTGCAATTTTTGCACCCGTGCTTTGGAAAGAAAGAATTCGTGCGCGATACGCGCGCGCGTGCCTGCATATTGTGCGTGTAGGAATAATGGAAAGTACCACTCTGTGTATTCTCGATCGTTCGGTTACGCGATAAATCTACGTGTGTCATTGCGACAATTAAGTCGTCGATCTTGCCCGCGTTCTTCCGCTTTTACGACGTGGATGATAACCGTCCGGGCGTAGCGAGACAAAGTATCGTGATATATCAATCACCAGAGACGTCTATCTGTTTATGATACAAGTTTATTGAATCACTGCTTGCGCAAATTAACAATGGCAATGGGCCTCAGGTTCCATTATCGCATATTTTCCAAAGTACCAAAATTTCTCCCACATTCATATTTTGTTTTAAATATTCGTGTACTTTTTCTCTTCAATAGGATGTCGATAATAACAATAATAATAATGATAATAATAATCCAAATGATAATTAATAATATAATAATAATAATGATAATATAATATACAATAATAACGGGATATGCGCGCTAATTAATAGTCGAGATAATAGTCGAGAGATATAACAGGTAAAATATACATATGCTCTTATGTATGTATAATAAATTAATTTTCCCATTCGATAAATAAAACAATACGAATCGCGTAAATTTCCTTTGATTAAGTGATATGGTTTGTTCGGTGACAAAAAAATTACTCCCGCCTCGTTCCTTTCACGACTCCAATCTCCTCTTGTTCCCCCGATGGATGTTTTTCCCCCAACGTTCAATATCAAATCTTTTCTAGTTTCTCTCCGGTTACTAACTAACTAATAAATTTTATATGTATAATAGCAATATATATACAATGCATGACCCGCAACGACGAATGTGCGTAATAGGTAGAGTATCTATGCGAATGCACCTCGTGACAAAAAGCCATCGATCCTTTTCTTCTAAGCTGGAACATTCAACTTTATTTCTATTTTATGCCTATGCGTCCTCCTTCCGGTTCTTTTTGCCTACGTGACCCTATCAAGAATGTTTCGCTCATTTTGTTTTTTATACTGGCTTTACTTTTGACATTTTTACTCGATATTTTTCTCTCAATTTAATGTCCTGTTTTATTATTGAATATTAGAAAGAAATTAATTTAATAATAAACCAATCACGTTACAGTCATACACGAACGTGCATTGAGAGACAGATGCCAGATGTAAACCCAGCATTAATTTTGTAATCCTGTAAATGGATTCGTTCGATTTGCTTTGGCGAAATGACGGACCAAAAATAATTTCTTTCTTTTTTTTTTCGTGCTCTTCGCAGTTTCAATATGAACAGCGTCGAAAATATCATCCCGCTGCATCTCGATCGAACGCATTATATCAACTTCGAGTCACGCGTTCGCGCTCGAACCAATTATCTTCGGATTTGGAGCATAATTTGAACGCGAATGCATATATATATGTCGCCGATCAAATTTATCCTCGCGGAAGTACACTGGCTACGTCATTGGCACTGTCAAAGCGGAGGAATAAGAGAGAAGCTCAGTTTCGCTATGAACCAAAGTGAGATCCTTCGAGGTTAAAAGGTGATCTCGACTATCGGTGGACTCCTCGCTTTCCGGCCAAATTGTATCCGAGATCGCGCGAGAACGGTATCGCGTATTGTGAACAAAGTCTGCAATCGCACACAAATCGGCGTTTACACGATTATTTACAAATTTACCTAGAGATATACAAGCTATGCCCCCGAGGCTAGAAAAAATACGGTCGCTCGAGCGCAGGAAGGCCGATCTCGTCGATCCGTTCGCGAAATAGTGAGAAGGAATGCGAGAGAGAGATGGACTCTCTCGCGATTTGTGCGTTTTCGCGAAACACGAGATAAACGTCAGCGAATCGCCGATATCATGGATCAAAGAGCGTTCGATACTAGTTTTACGTCTCGAATAATAGTTACAGGATGATTATCTTCTTTCGCGAGACGTCCGTGAGATTTTTTTTTTTTTATCAAAAGTCATACTTAATCCGCTTCCAAATTTGGGTGGCAGACACTAGTCGATAAGAATCACTTGTATATACAGTTACAGAGATTGCGATTTTGCGCCTCGACGAACGATGTTATCGCGATTGCGCGCGCGCGCGATTGTTACGATATGAATCATTCGCATTTTCAGCGCTAATATTTTTCTTAGACGTAGAATGTAAAAAGCGTTTCAGGGAAAACAACGTGTCTATTCTCCGTGTCGTTGTTTCGTGAAAAACAAGCGCCCGTCCTCCGAACCTTCGATCTCTCGCCGAAAGGTGAAGAGAAGAAGGGCGGAAACACAGTCTCGCGTAACGCATAATGTACGAGAAAATGAATCAACCAAAGTCCTTCATTTCCTTCCTTTTCCATGAAATGAAAAGACTCCGATCGGTTCTCTTATGCTTTATGCATTACGCGTATTATGCATAGGTGCGCTGCGCGCTTCGCGGCCTTCATTCGTATTCGTGGCGATAACGTTTCTCTCAACTTGCGCGCAGGTTCACGTTCAGGGTTCATGACATATTCACATTTCGCTATCGGGAAACTTCGTAATTCAAGACAAGATACCGTACGATGGATTCAAATCTCAATCATCGACATTCAACGATAGTAATTGTAACTATAATCCCGCGGGGCTTGTAAAAGTTCGACGACTATGACGACTCTCTATGTCTCCTCTGTTTATAACAAACTTACGCCTTTAGTTTATACCGTATAATCGTTGTGGAACGCTATAAATGCTCGGATGCGCGTTAGCGAATCTTTACGCGCACGGCACCACGGCTACAATTACGATCATTGCTAAGTATAACAATCTCTCTACTTTTTAAGGAAACAGCCGTAAGTACGATTCGGATAATTCGACTGTACCGCTGAGTACCTGTACCGCTTGAAATTCGACGGCGCCAGTGTTGATTAGAAGTGGTCGACGAGCGGCTGACTCGCGGTTAAAAAGTCGATTGCGTACAATTCGATCGTCGCTATTACTGCGCTCGAGCCGATCGTCAGAAAAGAGAAAATTATGACTAGAGAAGAAGATTCGTACGTCGGATACGATCGATCGGTGGTCCGCCCCCCCCGAAAGGGCTCGACCTACTCTTACAAGTAGCGTTATTAAAGTATTTGGTGTAAAAATAGGTATGACACACAGAGAGCGCCCCCTCCGTTTCCAAAAGACTTGTCGATGTTTCCCCCTCGCGCAAATGACAAACTGCGCTTAGGTGTTACATCGGTGTTTTTCTTTTTTCTTCTCAAAAATTTGTGTCCAATAAATATTAGCCTGTCGATTAAAAAGGATCTAAGCGGCGAATGTCTAAAACGCTTCGTCAGAAAACTTTGGGTAGATCTGCTATTACTTATTTTACAAAAGATCCACGAGAATTCCATTCGAATTCCGTTCAAATCCCTGTTAAGCCTATTCCTTCTCTCCTCCTTTTGGAGCTTAAGTCCTTTTTAATTTACAATATTCAAAGGTAAATCCATTTTAAATCCCTTCGAAAATACCTCGAGAGATACTCTCTCGTCTCAACGCTGCTCCCTCTAGTTAGACTCGTCTACTTAGACTTTCGCGATCGCTCGAAATTCGACTACGGCCGCCTTCGCGCGACAAAATCTCCGCCGAGATTGATCCTCTTCGAGGTCCTCCTTTCCGAGTCGGTCCCGATTTCAAAGATTTCCTCTCTCAACGTAGCGCCCGCGGCGCGTAAGAGCCGAATGAACCGCTGAAAGCCATTCCCGGCGATTCTTGGTGCGGCCACATTGCCGTTTCCCTTCGAAATTCTGGCTCGGTGACGACCGAAAGTGTCGCAGCGCCACCGGGTCTCAGGTCACGTCCACGTTCACGAGTCCGTGAACCCGATCGTCGGCTGGCTGCTACGTCAGCAGTTTGAAGAACATCAAAGCTAGAGATATGTTGATGAAGAGCACCAGCATCACGAGCTGCTGGCGGGAGAACCAGTCCTGGAAACAGTACGGGATATTACATGCTTCGTTAGTTTTCCTATCGCGAGCCATTTAGCTTCGCGGTAAATTCAATCAATTATCTTTTCTTACATTCAATAGTAATTGGTAGATTTCTTACTCGGCTTACATCTTACAACACAACTGCTACTCTCAATGTAGATGATCCTTTATGCCTCTTCTACAATAGCCGTGAGTGCAGTTGTAAGTGGTTTTAGTTAACAAGAACTGACCGATTACAACTCGAATATTCTCCTCACATTCCACTTGATCGATCAATTCTTACAGCTACAGCTAATTAAAGCTACGCTTACGGCTATTGCGGAATAAGTGTAAGATATTTCATTCATCGTCTCGAGATACATGCACGAGAGAGTGATTTTATTCGATCTGTAATCGCGAACTCGCGATTGCGAAACTGGACCAAGCGGATGCTGATTTCGAGAACCGCGCAAGAACCTATTATAGAATCGTCGCGTTTCTCGTGGTGCGTTATATTTTTGCGTAGCAAGTCGAGACGCACAGAACTTGATCCGAAATAAACCGTAACACTCTGCCAAGTGCCGCTCCGTGTTTTCTCTCGTTGTAACGGCGAGGATCGATGCCGGGCTATCGTCAACATCGATAATAGTTTCGACGGAAATCGATCGGGTAGAAACACGGAGGATACTCACCTTAACCTGCGGACTGACCAGGTACAAAAGCGGGTTCGCTCTAAGCCTCTCGCTCTCGTCGACTTGCCTGCGGATCTCCTCTCTCCTCATGCTGCTCAGAAAACTGACTTCTTCCCTCGACAATGGTGAGGTGGCCGTGAGCTGGATCGGCTGCGCTACGTCCGGCAGTGACTTCTTTCGTTGGAAGGGCATTGCCGCTACCGGCATCGCCTGCACGAAGGAAATAAACGAGAAACAAAAAGAGAGAGATGGGCCTCGAGCGACGAACGCGCCGATTACTTATCGACACTATATACATTGCCTTAACGTCTTATATAGCATCAAACGGGTATACAACGGAAAGAGAAAAACGGAGTTGTCGTCAAGCAATAGCAATTATACTTTTGAGTATACTTCTTACAGGGAATAACGTTGAGTTCAAAACTAGGTGAAGTAACGTATTGGTTATTTTTAATTAAAACATCTATTTTTAATAAAGTCCAACGTTTGAAGATCGGTTTCGTGAACATGTAACGTGCAGGGATTCGTTGTATTTTTAACTCTTAAATATACAACGTCGCTGATGTTTACAAAATTGATGAAGTTATAAGTATTTGATTGAGAATCAAGCAAACTGACAAAGCGAAAATTGTATAATGTATTGTATTTAAATAATTTTATTTTTGTACAGACTTTTCTTTTAAATCTGCAAAAATTGCTTATTTTTTTGCACTCTAAAAAATGAGAAAACTCTTTTTAATTTGTGCTCTATTCTGTCCAAGATTATTAACGTGTTTCCATTGTATTTGTTGAAGCTTTTGTTTTATATCAGAGCTGCGTGCATAAACCAGCGTTTCTCTTGTTCGAATTTCTGTTTGCTCGCTTGCGTGGTGTCAAAAGTTAGACAGCTCTGTTTTATATCGGTCCGTGAAACTACCATTGAATTTTAAACTATTGACTATTCAGACAATTGAGTTTTTCGTTCAAACTTCTACGTGCAGTCAATCACAGTATTGGTCACAGGATAATATTATCACGATTCGTTAAGTTCTCCGGATCTCAAATTCTATCGTTCTGGCAGCATTCTTCACGAAACCGATACAAAATCGGTTGTGTTAGAGCAGTACGAATTCCCGTAATTACGTGTTTTATTAATTCAGCATTTCATGCGAACGCAACGGATGGCGAGGAGAAAGATAGAGCACGAGCGGAAGGGGGGTCTTTGGAGCCGTTCCAAACCTACGAGAAGCGAGGTTTTTCGAGCACTGAGTGAGATACAAAGGCCGATGGGTCTGATCCTAAAACGACTCGTATCGACCTTCACATTCTTATTGTACGACTAAATAAATTTTTCAAAAATCGTAGTTCTAAGGGAAAACTATATATACTCGTATATATCTGTTAAATGAGAAGAATTTTTTCAAGCAAATAGTAAATAACTATAAAAAGTAATTTGAATTGCAGTCAAGAACTCCCTTTTTTATACCAAAATTCATTCGTATCACGGTTATAAAAAAATTCCGTACGCGTCGCGTGATGTTCTGAACATTATGTGTGGCAAATTAGCTAATAAATTCTAAATATTACATAACTGTATACGTTCTATTTCTTGTCGCAATAATATACTATATGCATAATTTTATACAGGTTGTTAAAATAAGAATCAGAGATTTAACGTTAGAGAGCACGAACTGACTTAATAAGTGTGATTGAAAGTTTTCAGTTTGATCAATAAATATAACTTATTTGCATTTTTGTATAAAATGGCATAGATTTGTCAAATTTTTTGTACGAATCGATTCTAGTCATTTTTTAAATTTAATTTATCGAGTATCTGCTCCCCAAGTCTTGAATCTTATTTTTAACACCTTATTAATAAGTCATGCATATTAAATTGCGATATTGCAAAAAGCCTCTTGTCTTGCACTGAATATATTTTCGCAAATCGCACGTTCTTATCTCTTGTAATCTTCTTGAATAAGAACAGCAGTTAAATAAGGCCACACGTCTTTTTTTCTATATACGTTATATGCAATCTATCGTGTTTGCTGACTGCATTCGTTTATTACGACGTGTTTTACTCGTGTTAAACCCTCCATCCTTCTACACTTCATCGAGCGTGCTTCGTTGTCGCTAAGCACAGCTGATTCCACCCCTAATGACCGCGCGAGCAAACAACGTTTCCCCCTCCGTTCGTTATTTATTGCTCTTGTTTTTTTCCCTCATCTTCTAGATGAAAATTCTAAAGAAAATTGTTTGCCCACCCTGCATTGCTTAACCTTGGTTATTAAAATGTTAGAACGTGAATTTGCCTCGCGTACCTCCACAGGAGGTGCTACGATCCAGGACTCCGAGGCTCGCCTGGCCATCAGAGCGGGGCTGCATAGCAACGCCTCCTCCTCCTCGTCCGCCTCGATCCAAAACATCTCTATTCTCACGATGATTCGTAGGCACCCTCGGAGTACATCAAAATCTTTCGAGTTTTTAACCACCCACGAAGAAGAAAATCATTCCCGTTTGCTTGGCTCAATTTTTCCTTTTTTTTTTTTTTTAAATTGCACTTTTGTTTCGTACTTGTTGATTTTATAAATTTCTCTTTAAAATTTCTAACGGACTTACAACTCTTGACGTTGATATGCTGTACAGTTTTCTTCAATTATCGGACTTTTGATATGATTGACAAGCAATGATTATTTGCAAGGACAAATTATTTGCCAGGTCCGTGTTATATATCGTGATTAAAGAGCTTACAGTTAATCGTTAAATAATTTTCATTAGATTGTCACTTTTACGTTACGTCGTTATGAAATGAAGCGAACACTGGTTTTTTTTTTTTTTTTTTTTTTTTTCGAATTCACGTTAAATTCGAAAGATCCTCCCGGAAGCAATAATCGAGCCAACTGGCGCTTCCGTTCACACCGAGTTTTCTTTTTCTTTGCCTCTTTCTCGACCGGAAATGTCTTTGAAACTGCACGAGCGTGTGTTTGTATTCGAGCGTAAAACCCGTCCGCTTATTTTTCGGCTGTTTCTCGACGATTTCCGGGCACGAAAAGGGGCAAATCAAAGTGTAAATTACGAATTCGCAGCCTCCCAGTAAGGAAGCTGGGCCGCAGACTGAACGGCCCTGGCTAACACGACCGAAATAGAGCGATGCCCCACTATCTTTGAAATAACTTTGCCGAACGTCGCGACGCCCGCGGAGATCTGCGTCGGGACGCTGCCAGAATCCTGTCCATCCTCGCAGCTGATTTACGAGGCTGTTTTATAACAGCGAATATGACGTGAAAAAAGATTATGCTCCAATCTCAAAATTCGATCCACTACTTTTGGTTCACTGACGTTGGCAAAATTATTCGGTTTCTCTCGAAAAATCTCGTACGAATCTCCAATTTTTTTTCTCAAATCTTTTCGAAATAGCTGAAATTATTTGGAAGTTTAAATTATTGAAGTATTATTAAAAATTATATATATTAAAATATTGGAAAAATAAAAGAATTCGAAATTTGAATTACAAATTTTATCGTACCATCGTGAGACAATCTTACGCAAATCAAGTCCAGACCCAAATTATCTGACTCATGCGTTTGATATGCGATGGAATATATAATACCGCGAGGATTTCGGGATTTTCGTGAGCCAAGAAAACGTCCGTCCCACTTATTTGCAATTTCTTTGTCTGTCATTTATCGCGTTGCGCAGTCTGCCTGTTGTTGCAAATTAGTTAGTTGCACCCGGCGAAGTAATTCGACTGGCATGGTGCAACGGTTTAATTTGCTTCGCTAATGACGCGATTACTTCGAGGTAGGTACTTCCCTTATTGAATCGATTGTTTAATCCGATTTAATTAATGCATGACGCTAATGATGTAATATTTTTTCACGGTGGCAATTATATTCACATCGATATAAATTTATCTATCCTCAATCGGATTAGCACAACAATAAACAATGGCGAGTAATGAGTGATTTATTATACTTGTTACAAAAAAAAAAAATATTTCGTAACTTTTTGAAGCTTCCGTGATGTTTTTGCACATTGTACGACTATATATACCTCAAATGAAACTTGACAAATTATAAGAAATGATAATGAAGTAATTAATATTAAAACCGGAATTTCCATGGCCTCGTTCACAAACTGCATACAATTGCCTTCATTGTTTGCGATCTTCCTCGTGAATCTACATATTGCCCACAATTTCCGTAGAACTCGTTTGAATATTACGATTGCTCAATTGAATCTTGAAATATTAATATCTTATCATATAAAACTTCAGCACATACTTCAGCAACCATTAATCGTTCCCAATACCTTATTCGATATCGATTTTTTTGTTTCGACGATGCTATTATTTTCTAAAAAAATGACAATAAACAATAAAGGCAGTGAGAGGTCCGATTTACGCGATACTCTCTTTAATCTGTCATTAACAGCAGCTTATACATGATATACATAAATACATTCAGTACATCGAATGCAACGTCGTTGTTTGGTGAACGAAATCGGTACAGTTTCTACATTAAGATCGATTTTCTCACGGAATGTAATCTGAAAATTTAGCGAATATGCGTATTATCTATTTCGATTCCTCGTCTGATCTTCTACAACTATATGACTACATATCTACAAATAATTGTGCGTCACACTATAAATTAGAACGTGATTATATCTGACTCATTAAGTATCTAGAAAAGCTTTTGTAAAGTCGGAAACAGAACAACGCTTATCGCAAGGTTGGCACTTGAGTGTAAGGTTAAGAAAAGTACTACGTTTTCAACGTTGACGAAATGTCGATGCTTCTCTCGTGCTTACTTCTTCCCGAACAATTCGATACTATACTTGAAAGTCGTTATAAGCGAGTAATTTGTGAACACATGGGTAGATTAACGGCTTAAGTCAGAATTCAAGGGTTTATTTGGGAATGTTGCATTCAAAGTTGCACTTGTGCATTATATTGTTGCATTTTATGCGGACCCGCACAAATCATTAGACTCATCCTCGCGACTTTACTTTTTTTTTTTGTGCAACTATCGTTATTGTCGAAACCATGATTTGTGACTTAAGGTGTTAACACAGATATATTAAATATCATTAAATCGGTCCTGTATGAAAATATAGTGAATATTCCTTCATAGTTTAATTAAAATCTTCAAAGAGTAATATTTTGTTTGTGCGATCAATATAATTTCTATCAATTAGAATTTTATACTCCGATTATATAGACCATTTAAGAATTAGGCTCACAGTTACAGGTATCATTGGCAAATTCGATCGTTAAAGGTCTGCTCTTAATCTTATTATCATACATAATTTCGCCATATCATCTGCTCATAAATTCGAATATTAGCCTTATTTACACGGAACATATTCCAACGTCTGTAATCTGGACGTTTTTCCTGTATGAAGAATCGTTAGCGTATAAATATATTTGACACAGACGGTTCTAAAACTCGCGTTTCCAGTTTCTCTTTCTTCTTCAGAGCGCTTATTTCTCAGTATATAAAATAAGCTTTCGCATTTCGCACATATCTTTCCCTTCGCGTTAACAGTGGCCGGCAAATTATTCTACGCGATGATTCTTATGCGTGCGCGATGTGCGTGAAACAAGTATTGTACTACAATATAACGTCCGTATATATATATATATATATACACACACACATATATATATATATATATATGTATATCGGCAACGGCGACTAACATCGTAGATTTAATTAGACTCCTGCGTGCTTAAGGCTCGTTTCGTATCGAACGTCTCCCTCACGATTTTACTTTCATTTTAACAACTTTCTATCTACGCACATATGGCGCCAAATATGTGGACTCGAATTCACGACAAGCATGCGTTAGAAAAACAACGGTTTCCAACCAGAAAACAGAAAAAAGAAGCGGCGTGGAGGTGGTAGATAAATGAATCTCTCGTAAAGCTCGTACATTTGCAATCTCGACAAGTGATAATAATTAGCAGTTACCCCTCTCTGTGATAGCAATACTAATATTTGATAAATTAAATATAAGACCATTTGAGTTATGAGCTCGAACACAGCATGGCAAAATTCAACTAGAGCATATCTGAGAGTACAGATTGAGTGGTCGAGTAATCTAGGCGAATAATCTAGGCAAATAATCTAGGAGAGGTGGCTAGCGAGAGAGAGGGCTCGGAAGAAGGGTCGAAAAAGACTTAAAAATATGATTGAAGAGGATTAAAATAGAATGGAAGAGCAAAAATATGGTCCCCGCCTCCACGCCACGCGCTAGGCTTACCTTCCGAAGTCCGTTAATTAGCGGTTAATGGACGTAATAAGCGTGCGCCAGCTTTAGCTAAGCTCCGCGCACGAGTTTATATTCATATATGTGTGCGCATGCAATTAACGTAGATTGCCTAATTCTTAATTCGAGTAGCTATTCTCAAGAGAGAGAGAGAGAGAGAGAGAGAGAGAGAGAGAGAGAAACGGAATGTCACATATAATGTAGAATAATTGTGCGCGAACAAGGATTTCGTTTCATTTTTTCTATCGTTTTTACAAAGTGGAGAGCCAACTCGCATTATATTACTCCGCTTTAGCATAATCTTTTCTGTGCAAATATCTATACATATACATATATCGTACATATACACAGACACTTCCGTTTATGCTCGTAAAGATATTTTATGCACTCGCGTTTTTTTATCTGAGATGCGCGTATTAATAATCTTATTTGACCATAGCGTGACCGAGCAGAAAAAATAAAAATCGGAGGGCATTTAGTTGCTTCTTCTCTCTTGCTGAAAGGAACTGTACATGTAGTGTTACATTTATTGTTCGTTGAACTGGTCCGTCGGCTATCTCGCATGTTACCCAATGAGCATAATAGATCGTATCTCGAATTGATACAACGAGGCGAATTGATGGTCGTTGCCAAATTGGCGCTTTTCAAGCGCGGTTTGCGAAATCTGCTAATCCTCTTTAGCGTATAATTCCGTTTCTCAATAGCGTTGCCTGACGACAGCAATCTTCTTTCATGACCAAGACGAAACACGATCTAAGATACCTCGAAAATATTTAAGCTCTACCATTTCTTGTCGACTACGCTTTAACCATCATTTATTTAATCCTGAAATAAATGCACGCTCTGATTATCAGTTCCAACGGATTAAACGGGACGTGCTATCTTCCCTCCAATTCATTGCGCAATAGCCAAGTATTAATCGTTATTGCCAAACGTTGATACGAAACGGATTTATTCCAGGATTAACGCTGATGATCAAAAATTGACAACAATAATTCTAGATTGTTCGCGTGAGTGAACAAATCGTATCACTCACTAGGCTCGCAGTGTTCCCATAGAAATATAAGTCGGTCTCCCATAAATATGCATTGCTCATTTCAAATGCGCTTCCTTCAGCCGCGATTCTATTAATGAGCGTCTTTATTGTTCGACACCGCGGCGAAGTTAACAGCTAATAGCAATCTATACCAGGTACAAATGTCTCTTCCATTAAGCGTTACGTCCCATAACATAGCACCAAAATTTTTCACGAAAAAATGTTCGTTACTAGAAAATTCTCTCATTTTCATATAAGGCCCCGCTCTGGAAACCTACCTCACATTTTTCAATGTATATCAAGTGAACGTGCGTAAACTGCGAAAATTCAACCAGTCCGACCGGAACCGAACAAGTCGGTTCTGCTCGCGAGCCTGCTTCGACAGCTGCATTAACATAATTAATTATTCGGACACAGCGTGTTCAAGCCGCGCAATCGCGTCTCTCCGTTAGTTAAGGTAATATCGGACGATGCAGAGAGATTCGTAAATTCATAGAAAAATATCGTCAATGCGCGCGTTCAAAACTACCCCGAGACAAGATTCGTTATCGGAACTTAATTCGTTCTGAAATATTTAATGCCGAGGTGAGTTGGGCGGAAACGGCGGAATGTCGGGGGCGGGGGGGGGTTGCGCGAATCGTGATTTCTTAGATTTCCGATTCGGCTCGAAATGCAACGTGAGCCTATCGAAAGCTGCGCTTCCTTGCCAACCGCTATTACATAACATCGCTCTGTATACATATTTTATACTTATACTTATAGGGTTGCGCGGCCCTTTGACGTTGCGGCGAAGGCGGGGACCGTCCGGCCTGCTTCCTGGGATGGCATGCACAGAACACAGCACAAAACGCCACACAGTTACACAGAGAGACAAATAGAGAGAGAGAGAAAGAGAGAGAGAGAGAGACAGAGAAGAGAAGAGATACAGATAGGTAAGGTAAACTAGATAATAAGAGAGGCGAATATGGTGAGAAAAATCTGAACGAGAGGAAAAACGGGGAGAAAATGGGGTGCGTCGAGAACGCAGGCGAGGTGCAAGAAATATATCGCAATAAAAGAATACAAGTTTAAACATAGGGCGAGATGATACTCGGGCTTATGAAAATAGTTCCGGAATCGTTAATATGGAATTCTCGCAGCAGAATGATAATGTGAAACTAATAAAACGTATTTTCGATGTTACTTTGATGATAATTTCTAGTCATTGGAAGATTATATACAGTATAATAAAACCGATGGTCATTATGAGTAATCACTCGCGTGATTATTATTCATAAATGGACGGAGATTATTATTCAGAATTTATGGCAATTTTCTTTCGAATGATCGATCAACGTTGAATCAGTATCGATTCAACGTTGATCAGCCAATTATTTCTGGCTGAGAATCGTTTCATCAAAATTTTCGAATAATATGAAACGAGAAACATTTAAAAGATTGACTTTTAATTGGACTTTGAAAAAACAGCGTAGACCAATTCTATTAATTCTGTAAAATATTCTATTAGTCGTTTTCTGCTGCGAGAAAAATTTAAATCTAATATCGTTCGACTTGTACGTGCGATATTCTTCTTGGAAATCAACGTAATGTCAAACGATTGTTATTTTGTTTTAACGTACAATGACCGTCGAAGTTATTTCCGAAGTTGGTCTTGGAAAGAGATATCTCGTTTCGTTTCTTGGCAGAGTGAACGCCAAATAAATTGTCAAATTACATTATATTTCCTCAAATCTTTGTCATTCACGAGAAATCGACATCAAAATTTCACGTCCGAATGGAAAATTTAAATTCATTCAAAAAATGAACGTCGCGATTCGCTCCAAGTGAATAAGCAGCGAAAAATCGTATCGGAAAGATAGCTATAGTGGCATTAACTCTCGTGAAATGTCGATACAACACACGGTAGAAATATAATGAATAATAATATTTACATAGAATGAATATAATTTAAAAATGCTGCCTGTCCGATGACGTCAATGCACGAGATGTCAGAATCCTCTATGGAAATTTCTATCTGACTCGGATCGTCAATATATCCTCTATGAATATTAAAACAACACTCAATCACAATAAATTGAAGGATGAGAATTATCAGTATATCTGCAGAGTTCTGTAGAACAGATATCTGTAGAATCGGCACGTTCGAAAATTCTTTTTCGTGGTGGCTAATGTAAGTGCCAAGACGTCCTCGGTGTACAAGACGAATGTATGGGTGCACACACACACACACACACATATATATATATATATATATATGCATATGGCGAAGGTTTTGTTTATATGTACATATACACATATATATGTATATGTATATACAAATGGTTAAAAAGAACAAATATATGTAAGAAAATAAGGACTCACCTTCGGCACAATACCACCACCACCACCGCCGCCGCCGCCTCCACCACCACCACCACCACCACCGCCACCGCCACCGCCACCGCCACCGCCGCCGGGCTGTCCGCGAGCCATGTAAAGGCTCTCGGTGCGCTTAGGCTGTCCAGGACTCGGCAGAATGTCTTGTCCAAGACTACGATTTTTTATGAGAGCCCCCTCAAACTGGTTAGGAGTTGGCGCGGCGTATGTCGGCGTCGCGGCGCCGCTGCCTATCACGGAACCATTCAGCGGCGTCCCTCCTCTTATCGCGCTTGGAGCTCTCGTCGATCTGCCGATTGTAAAATTATTGGTTTCAAAGAACTAAGAGATAGTTCTACAAAAAGATTTAAACGTCCATGGTAAAAGATTTAAATGCCCATGGCGCACAGAAAAATGTAAGGTGGCAAGACGTAAGGAAATTGGTCAACGATAGAGAACGTAAGGCAATATCGTTAGTAGTAGCGAATCCAAAATGATAGAGATTTTTTGTGTGCCACTGCCTTTATGATACTCTACAAATTTCTGAATGCAACTCTAAAGCTTGCGGCTCTAAAGCTTACTGTTTGTTTGATGCTTGTTTTTTGCTGCTGGATTGTTTGCGTTTTACTAAATTATTATAGAATTACACCACACACAGAAGGCAGAATTTCTAGTAATTTATCAAAACGCAAGGAAAATCCAGCAGGAAAACAAGCACTGCAGGCTTTAGTTTAGATTTTTCTCTGAATTACGATACATATACGATCTCAGGTGGTAAACAAAAATAAATACTTTCGAATGTCAATCGATATATGTCGATTTAGATGTTATTCACCTGTCGAGCATCTCCGGAGGTGGGTTCGATATGGTTTTGTCGACGGATGGTTGTCTCGATCCAGTTAACCGGGAATGCGCTCTGGCATAACGATCTACAGAACTGTCGCGACTAGGTGGTCTCTTGTAATGATCCAGCCTACAATACATTAATCGCTTAAAATCTTGAAAACTTGTAATGTAATTATAATGTCGAACGACAATCTAAAGAAAGTGTGAAATCTGTAAAAAATATTTTACTTTGTGCAATCACGATTCGTCTTAAATATGATTCCACAGAGCTGCGATGCAGTTGTATAAAAGTATTATAATATAGAAAATTTCTTAAAAATATCAAATCACATCTTTTTAAATTCCTGTATGTATATGTATAGTTGTATAAAAAGAGCACGTCGGACCTGTCGTTTAGCGTTTGACCAATAATGCCAGGTCGATCCTGAGGACTCAAGACTCTGCTATTTCTTCGTAAACTCGTGGAGCTCGGCGGTCTCGCTGCATCCATGATGTTATCAGGCTGGTATTGCGACGGGTGCGTTTGTTGTGCGTACATTGGCTGTGAATTGTACTGATTCATCTGGCCAGGCCCATATTGATTGGGTAGTACAGTCTGAAATTATTTCACGTTGTCATCCAATCAATACTTTTAATCACAAGCCGCACAAATACATGGCTGAATCATATTTCAAAATGTTACTCAAACATATCTAATATTTTTATTTACATTTATGAGATAAGCGATACTGATGTCGAAAGATCTTGTATTTGTTCGATATTAGAGGTTCGTTATTAGAGGTTACCAAAATTTTGCAGGCTCATCGATATGACGATTAATTTATACACTTCAAGAGAAGAAGCAATGGCTTCCTACTTGGTTGCTGAATCCATTAATTTTCAACAAAAATTAAGAATGTTACTCGCAATTGAACTAATTATCATTATTCGGAATAAAAAATATGATAAAGGAATATAATTAAACGTCTGTCGATAATTAGTCATTAGTATAGCTATTGTTAAACGCATGTTAAATTTATCGATGAAACTAAACTCGCATGTATAGAAACGACTCATTGAGTTTCTTATACCATAAAACTGCGCCAACCAACTTGATTTATTTGGGCGAATGTCATTGAATTATACATAAACGTTGCGAGATCTAAAAAAAAAAAGAAAAAAGGAAAAAAAACACATACACACAGAGAAATTGCCATAGGCGTACGAAAGCGCTCGGTAAATCGTAATCAGTAAATTGAATTATCGCGCGTGGAAAGCTGTGTGCGTGGAAGCCAAGAAAGACCAAGAAGAGCCATATTGCTACCGGAGTCACCTGCTGAGTGGGATAAGCCTGCAAATTTTGGAAATCGTGCAATCCGATTGGTTGCTGTTGTTGCTGTTGTTGCTGATAATCGGAGTATTGTTGCTCAACCTGAGATGGATTAGTCAGTTGATACTGCGTCTGGTACGGATTGTTCTGGACGAACTGGTGGTGCTGCTGGCTGTATTGATTCGGTTGATACTGGTTCGGTATACTGTTCGAGTACTGGCTTGTCGGGACCGGGTTTTGCGTCATGTTTTGCTGCTGATACGGATACTGTTGATACGGATTCTGACCGATCAGCGAGGTCTGTTGAGTGTTCAATTGATTCATGGATGCCTGGTTCACCAGCGGTATCTGATTCGGTATCTGGTTTTGCATAGGCAGCTGATTCTGCGGCAGAGGCTTCACACTGGTCCTACGTATCGATTGCATCACATTGCTGACGGTGTTGTTCGCTGCGGATGCTGGCGTCGCGTTCGTCGACGTCGTTATCGCCGTCGTTGCGGAGTCAATCGTGGCGCTCTTGATCGGCGTGGCGCCGCTGGGTTGGTCCACGCTGGCTGTCTTATGCAGGATACTCTTACCCGGCATGGAATCCTGTGGCGGCGGGACGTACTTGGGTATCTCCCTGTTCCGTAACCTTTCTAAGCCCGGCTGTCGGAAGTCTGGCGCGAACTGCCTCGCCGTTTGTTGCGCTAGTTCGGAATCCTCTCTGGCGTGCTCGGCGGCGATGTCGGCCAATTCCGCTTTACCTCGCGCCGTTGCCGTCCTAGAGATAGCGATATCGGCTTTTTGCAGAGCGATCTTGCTCGCCCGCTGAGCTGCGCTCACTGCCGCCTCTATCCTTTCACGGAATTTCGCGGACCTGATTAGGAAGAGATGCTTCTTTTTCTGGCTAGTGATAAGCACGTTGTTCTTGTACTTTCCTTCCTCCTTGCTGCCGTCACGGAACGTGGTGACACCGTAGCCATATTTGCGATTGTTGAACCATTCGCCTTCATATCGCAACCCGTCGCTTCTCTCGGATATGCCGAAGCCGGTCCTCTTGTCGTTCTTCCATTCGCCCAAGTACGTCTCAGTTACCGACGCGTCCATCTGTTCGTCCTGCGAATCAACATCATGCGATTATTATTAACTACGTTTTGCTAATTATTTTATTTCTTTTTAGTTTTAAATCCATACGCTACAAGGATACGTACCACATTTATGCTACAAGTTACTAGTATTAACGTTATTCGCATCTCTTGATACGATCAGAATAAGCGGATTTAACGATCGCGCAGAAACGAAATTAAAATCCGATTAGAGGTTTGTCGAGTCGCGAGGAAACTGAGGAACACAAATGTCGTGACCCACCTCGATGACAAAGGACGCATTGCTGTCTGTGTGAACCGACGCCGAGGCTTGACTTTGCGAGCTCTCGGTCGACATCCACGACGCTGAGCTGGCATTACTTCTGATACTACCACCGGTACCACGTTTCTCCAAATCTCCCGTGCTCCTCTGCTTTCGTATCTTAAGACCCTATCGACAGAATATTCTTCAAGATAATTTCTGTTAAAGAAAAGTCTCATTATCAGTTTTTCGTTCCTTCGCGAGAGGAGGGTGCGCCTTACCGAGAGAATGCCCTTTTTCAGGGACTTTTCGGTGAGGCTCTTTCTCCGAGCCGGTGGATCGTCGCTCCTGGCTTTCAGGACGAATCCACCTCGGCTGTCGTCCACACGTCGATCCCTTCTGTCGGTAGGTTCCGGCGTTGGAGCGACCGCTGGTCCTCCGTCGGCGCTCCTCAACGACGTCAAGGACGCTCTTACTTGCTTCGGAGGTTTGTAGTGGCTGGCCAAACCAAACGGCGCGCTCGCCCTCACCCCGTAACCATGCCGCATGCCGCGGAGCCATTGGCCTTGATAAGTACCTACAAGATTATCCATGTAACGCAACAGAAATAGAAACAGGAGTTGGAGGCGGGACGTTCCATCAGCGAATTACACGCCACCTCGATTCATTAGAGCTGATGAAATTATTTTTTTTTAGAGTTTAACATATAAATCTCTTCACGTGATTCAATATACTTTATTTCGAGAGTTTCAAGTATTACGTTGAGGCAAAAGTTTTTATCTTTCTATCTGAGTCTTTCTGTTAAATTCTGTATTAAACAAGTTGGAAATCCGGAATTCTTCGAAAAAAATTTCTTTTTTTCTTTTAGATAAAAGAAGAGTCTATTGAAGTTAGTGTACTATGATTTCGCTTTGACTCCGCTGTAACTTTGTTTTAAACTTTATCTTTACGGATTTAACAAAATCTTTCGCACTAATAATAATTAAATCGTTGAACAGTTGATCGTTATAATCGAATAGTGATTGTTCACTGGTGATAGAGAGGACACTTTTGTAAGACTCTTTTGTAAAGTCACTGAATTAATGAAGTCCCGTAATGAGATTTTTTTATTCCTAAGCCAAAGTGACGTCGAATAGCGTACGTATATACATTATACACACCGTGTAACTTATAAATACAAATAGAAATATATTATACATAGGTTCGAACATCGTCGTGTCTTCGAGCCAAAAATGATGGAGAGTTTGCGGTACTTTATAAACCTAGTGACTTTAACTTTTTTGGGAATAATTGAGTGAAGGAGGAGGAAAGATATGCGACAACTATGTCGGCATTAGAAATCGGAAGTGACACGTCAGTTAGATTACGACAAATTCCCGGGGTTGCCTACACTCGGCAATAAGATGTATTGTTTTTGCCAAAACGTGACCGTGTTTCAAAATGTTTCGCGTGAGTCACGACGTATACGAGGCGAGTTACGCGCGCCCCGCTTAGGGATGGAATGCGTCCAGTTACGCGGGCTTTTTCGCAGAACGTCCGAATTCCAAATCGATGAAAAAAAAACCCGAGAAGTTGGACGCGGATTCCAATTGTATGAAAGACCGCAGTGCGGAGGATGCGTAATTCTTTCCGCGAAGTAAATGATGTTATTTTCGTGATCTACGTAGTTTGTATTTTTTAATAGTCATCAAATATTACGTATTGTTGCTTGCAGCTTTTTAAGTCACCGTCAGATCGTATCAATAGCAAGCTACTCGGGCATTGCGAGCGCGGACCGTTCATTCGAAAGAGTATTATTCTATTCTGCGTTGAATAGCTCGGCGTCCTGGAGGAGTATTGCGGTCGCAGCGAAAAGTTTCGGCCGACGACGTTTATTGGCATGCAAACCAAGTCGTATGCATCGTGACGACGAGACGCGTCAACGTTTCGTTGCACTGGAACGGGACGCATCACGCTTTTCTTCTCAGTTCTCTGACACAATTGCAGCCTTGTTGTTACTTATTCGTTGTTATTTATTAACAGCTCGATTTTTTTTTTAATTTGATCATTTTTCTCGTCTATAATTCTTGATTTGTTAAAGATTATTGATGTATATATTGGACATGTTAAAAACATAAATAATGAATATTAACGAAAACGCTTAGGTTTTTTTTCTCGATTAATCGTCCCATTTAATGCAATCATTTTGATTTTCAATTCAATAATTGAATTTATAAAAATATAAAAATATAATATTGTATATAAAAAAAAATGTAATATATATAATATAATGTAAAAACAATATTAAACGAGGCATTGAAAATTCACTCCTGAGATTAACATTGAAAAATCAAAATTGACATCGAATTAATATCGAAAATTGAAAAGACTCGACACCTGCGACGAGGAGGTCTTCGATCAAATTTTTGCTTTGCGAAATCTCACGAAAATTCAATTCGTCAAGAAATCTGTCATTAGCAGACACACGACGTCGACACGGGATACCCTATATATGGCGACGCCAGGCGTCTCCCCTCTTCGCAACGACGGAATATTATTTCGCTAGCGTTTAAGCAAGTGGGTCACGCGGCGGTTCCCGGCGTTCACACAAGACGCCCAATGTATACGAACCCTCGAAATTGCCGTCGCGGCGGCGACGGTGCCAGTCCCAATGTATACCGCACGTTTTCAATTAATTTTTAGGTACGCCCGCGAACTGCATACCGTCGTGAAAAGTACGCGGGCACGTGTGCGCGTGTGAATGTTTAAATATTACACTCCCCGACTATTCACGACAGCGAAATCTTTCTGCTGCTTATTACGAGCTGCTTCGGTTGTATCAAACCGGGGTAATGAGTTTTTACTACGGCGATTTTCTCAGAAAGATTGGCAACGCGCGTTGCATGTCTACGCCTTGAATTGTTCTTACGACGCGAAAGAGATCGCCAATTAGGGAAGTTATTTCTTCATTTTTTCAAAGAGAGTTATAAGTTACTCAGTTACTTTTTCTTCCCTTTCACCTCCGATTATCTATCACTGGGATAAGCATAATAAATCCTATATATATATATCGCGTCTACTATCACCCAAGGAACACACTAATTCAACAAAAGATCAAAATGACTTTATTTTAATCCGTAACATCAATAAACAATCAAATCTTGTAACAAAAAATTATTGTTTCGACTTTCATATCGTCAAAATAAGATCATTTTGACTTTCTGCTGACTTGATGTTTTCCTTAGGGTAGTTTTTGATTTTAGTATTCCTATGTCAGAGTTGGAAAGCGTTACTCTGTCCGTTACTTTTTACAATAAACAATTTGATGATGATGTTACAATTTTCTTATAATTAAACACTTATTATGTATTAAACAGGTTATGCTAAGGTTGACTTTTGCAAAGGTCGACTTTTCCAACCTTAGCGTTTAGTTATAAAAGATTGCAACGTCATTTATTACAAAAAAAGTAACGGAGAAAGTAAAGCTCCCCGATTCTGGTACATACATTTGTTTATATGTATTAACATGATGGCGACTCTGCAGTGATATTTTCTTCAAGAGCTCTCTCTCTCTCGAGAGAGAGAGTTTGTCCTGGCACAGTTGGAAGCGTTTCTCTCTCCCTTCCTTTCTCCTCCTCTTCTTTATCCAAAAGATTTATGATTTTAAGCTCGCTGCACAAATCTATGGATCGATTTAGAAGACGTCCACTTTGCGCAGAGTGCCTGCGTTATCGAGGTCAGTTCGGGTTGTCAGTCGCGTGGAGACAATCTAGCATGAAAAGTCCCTGTGACCCTTGAGGCTTTAACGAATTTTAAATAGACGTAGCTTAAGCCGCCGTCAAATTCCATGGAGACATTAACCGAATAGCATTACATAGCACGCGGAAAAGTGGATCGCTATATCGATTCGCGTATCCCGTCAGCAACGACCCAGATTAATTATTATCGAGCTTCTAATCTACGTCCTGCTAATCTACGCTGCGACTTTCGACAGTGTTCTAGTCACGAATCGTTCAATAAGCAAGTAACTTCGTAACTTAATTCGCACTAATTATCCTCCGGCGATGGGAATCGTCGAAAAAGTTCACCTCGATTGGATCAATCTCGTGCAAATAAATTATGAATCGGATACCATATCGGATCGATGTACAAATACTTAACGATGTCTATTTACATACATTTGAATAACGCATTATTTTGTGAAGCAAGACGTTGCTTTTTCTTTTGTGCATTTGCTTCTCTGCTTGCGCATGGGACGATCGATAGTCTTCACAAATTTCATTTCCCGGCGAACTACTGGTAGCGCAAGTCGGATTTAACGTAGAACGAGTTTAACACGGAATAGGGGGAGGGGGAGGGGGTCATCCTGGCATATATCTATCGTGTAGGGAGCACGAAATGGGAGCCTTTAATCTAACCGGAACGCGGTTTCTGCCCGTCGATATCGTGGAAGATAATCGTCAAACTTGAACGTTTCGAAATTTATCGTCAGCGCTTGCTGGCCATTATCTGATGATAATGCTTTTGCTTTCTTTTTAAAACACCGAGAGTCATATATAGCTGCAGATGATGTTCCGTTGATGAATTAAGATCGAGATAGAACGGCCGCAAAAGAACAATCTCTGGAGGGGTGAACTAAATGTGCAGTACGGTCCTGATTCGCTACATGGCACTGGCTAGTCTGCCTGAAATAGCACGGCCATCTTCCGAGGTGGTGGTTGATTGCACGTGCATCGGAACGCATCTCGGTATTGGTGAGAATTGGCCGTGCGAGCGTATTTCGGTCCGCAGCCTCCACCAGATTGTCGCAAACCACCCTAACAGGTCGTCCGAACTGTCTTTTCAGTTACGCGTCTCTGTCTGGGGAGGGTGGGTAAAAATTCTAGGAAACACGTGTCCTTATAAAAGGAAAAGGAAAAAAGGAAATATCACAGAGGGGATATCTTTATCTGTAATTTATATCTATCTGTTTTTTTACGTTGCCGTGCAAGACTGTCGTACCGAAAAGTGGAGAGACTTCCGAGGCTTTTTGAAACTCGACGACTTAAACTTTATCATCAAGAATTTTACTATGTATAGGCGCGATTAATGTTACAAAAACTGCCGTCTCCTTCTTTCTTTCGCGATCGATCGGATGAATGAGGCGCACAAGAAATATAGAGCAAGAACCGTGCACTTCCGTTTTACGCTGGCCATTTATAGCGTAATTCGCGCCGGACAATGTACGTGTCGGTTAAAATCCATTAGGTACTTAGCGGTAAGACTCGCCTTGACCGAATATGATCCTCTTAATTTGCGTCGCACGTTTATCGGTCTATTTTCACTTAATATTGCTCAAAAGCCGCTTGTTTCGAGAAACAGCAGGCTACTTTTTTTATTGATTATAATATTCGTGCGTCGTTGCGTCCTCTGCGGCTTCGATCCGAGCGCCGTGCGTGCTGCATGTATGATTACATAGCTGTGCATCGGGTTGCCGAGCGTCGTTGCGATAACAGAGTGGCATACTTTTTCTCTATCGCGCGGTCTTATTGGGAAACTTATCCGAGTATTCACCACGATATCACCACGAGCTGTCGAAAAAACTGATGAATCAATTCT